CTGTAGGTCATGCCAAGGGCTCATCACTGCCCAGTACTTGGTGCTTTCTATCCTTGTTTCTTCCTCCATACCAATGAAAAGGTGTTTTCTGTGTGACCCTTGGGTATTTGGAGAGCTTAGTTTTGGAGAATTCCTTTTATTGCAACAATCCTTTTCTTTCTTTCTTTCTCTTTTTTGTTTTTGAGACACAGTCTCACTTTGTTGCTGTGAATAGAATGCAGTGGCATCATAGCTCACAGCAACCTCAAACTTTTGGGCTCAAGAAATCCTCAGGCCTAAGTCTGCTGAGTAGCTAGGTCTTCAGTTGTGCCCCACCACGCCCGGCTGAATGCTATTCAATAAAATATCTTCTAAGCTGAGTTTGAGTTTCTATTATTACAGAGATAAGTATTTTCATTGTTTCATCTGTGTCAGAATGTGTGTATTCTCTTCTTTTTGTGGCACAAACTATAATATACACTCAGTAGACAAAAGTACTTCTTACCTTGAAAATTTTATTTGAAATTTTAATGATTTACTGAGGTCAGGCATAGTGGCTCATGACTGTAATCCTAGCACTGTGGGAGGTTGAGGACAAAGAACTGCTTGGGCCTAGGACTTTGAGTTTGCAAAGAGCCATGAGTTTGCAGTGATTCCACCACTGTACTCCAGCCCAGAAGACAGAGCAAGACCATGTCTCAAGAAATAAACAACAAAGGAAATATGCTGATATGGGTCAACCTGGAATGCACCTGTAGTCCTAGCTACTTGTGGGAGCTGAGAAAGCAGGATTGCTTCAGCCCAAGCATTCAAAGCTAGCCTGGCCAACACAGTGTGACTCTGTTTCTTAAAACGTAATAATCGTAACATTAAAAAAATGCTGATAAAACTTTTCATATTCATCTGTGTGCCATGGCAGTACATTTTGCCCATTTTAACCTGCTGATATTTTATTTAATTTATTTATTTTTGTTAAATAATAAAGAGGTAGAACATGTATACATTAAGGCATTTAGGGGGTACAATGTGCTGCTTTCATATACAATTTTTTTATTAAATCATAAACACATACATCATATATACATTAATGCATTTATGGAGTACAATGTGCTGATTTCATATGCAATTAGTTAATATATCCCTCACCTTGTTTACTTAATTATTGTGTTAAGACATTTATACTCTAGGCTTAATAGATCTGACTTGTACCCTTGCAATATGCACAGTAGATGTGATCCCACCATTCACACTCCCTCCATATGATCTGCCCCCTCCCCTCCCCTCCTCCTCCTTCATCCTGAGCCATAGTTGTGATCTATTCTTCATATGAAAGTGTAATTGTAAATTGGTTTCATAATACTCCTGAGTACATTGGATACTTTTTCTTCCATTCTTGAGATACTTTACTAAGTAGGATATGTTTCAGCTCCATCCATACAAATATAAAAGAGGTAAAGTCTCCATCCTTTTTAAAGGCTGCATAATATTCCTTGGTATACATATACCACAATTTATTAATCCATTCATGGGTTGATGGGCATTTGGCTTCTTCTATGACTTGGCTATTATGAATTGAGCTGCAATGAACAACCTGGTGCAAATATCTTTGTTATAAAGTGATTTTTGGTCTTTTGGATATACACCTAGTAGAGGAATTGCAGGGCTACTTTTATATCCCTGAGTATTCTCCATACTTCTTTCCAAAAGGGACATATTAGCTTGCATTCCTACTAGCAGTGCAGAAGTGATCCCTTTCTCTACATCCACACCAACATCTGCCTGCTGATATTTTAATTATGGTAATTTTCTTATCTCAACATACTATATCAACTAATTACCACATCAAGAAGGATGAAGTCTTTTAAAATTAAGGATGTGAGAGAAAAACATACCTGTACATGTTAAGTTAAAAACATTGTCATTAAATTATTGCTGGAAGACATATTAGCTTTACTTTCTTAAGGGTTTTATAAAAGAATAATCTGTGCAATACACTTAGAAATATTGCAGAATATACTTCGGTCAATATACTCAATGGTGTCATGAAGACAATTTCACAGGCTTTGTTTTCCACTCCTGGCAGAATATTAAAAAGAGAAAAAAAGGAAAAACCTAAAATATATTACAACTTTTAAATAAAAGTATGTTTTCTAATTATTTTCCCAATGTACTTAAGTGCACCTGAATTTGTGGTACATTTAGAACATATGGATGTGAGGATATTATGAGGTCAACAAAGTTCACCTTTTGTTTCTTGAATAAAGTTCACCTTAAAGTTATTTAAGGTTACATCATCTCAAGAGTGTAAGAGAGTAGTGTGAGAATACCTATGTAATTTCCATCTACATTTAAAAGTGACTGCTTTTTAAAAAGCAACTCTTGGGGACCACCTTATCACTTGCCTGAGACCTCCACGAATTGGGTGTTGTTGTCCTTGGGAGAATTTCTGAAACTGAGCTCAGGTTTGAAGCCCTCCCTCTGGAGAGAAAAGGGAATAGAAACGGAAAGGATTTCTACTATGTTCTGTTGGACCTCAGCATGAAATTGCACCTTCAGTCCAGACAGGGTCTTGCAATTCACATTGTAGTTTGCCTCTCCTCCGGGTGTTTAATTTAATTGCTAAACTTAATTTTAATTGCAGGAACTTCCCTGTATTTAATCGCCAGCGGACGTTGAAGCACCCAGCCAGATGCCAGTTCCTAGGCTGCTGAGCTGCTCCAGTCTCACAGGGAAGTTTACCCTCTAAAGGCAGAAATCTGGGTACTAGGGGAGCGAAGGCGGGGGAAGCGCAGGCCCCGCCCAGACACCGCCCACTCTCTGTCCCCGCCCCACCCCGCCCCGTCCTGAGCGCACAAGCCCAGAAGACCCGGAAGCCGATGGCTCGGAGTGAAGGCCCTTTTACGTCAGGTGAGTTTTCCATTGTCTACATTAACTGTCTGCTTCGCAGTTCGCATCACTTCGATGTCTGGGATCGCGGGCTGTAGAGATCTTAAATCCCCGCAAGGTTCCTTCCGCCCCGAAGGAGAGTCCTCATCTCCCCACTCTCTAGCACCTCAGCTGTGGTTCGTTCTCTCTACTTGTCACCAAGCTGCATCTTCTTGTCCCAGCACCAATGAGAGTCCAGGGTCACTTCCCTGTGAGCTGAGTCTCCCTGAGGCAGGTCTTGTCCCTGGTCTTCCTGCCACAGGTCCGTAGAGACACTGCCTTTCGCACCCTGTCCCTCCCTAAAGCCCCTCTGTGACCCCTGCACTCCCTCAGTGCCCCTTAAAGTCCTCACCGGCGGGGGGCGTTCACCCCCTTCGAGGCCCCCAGGCCTCGTATTGAGTCGCTCCTGGAGGGCAGCACCGCAGCCCCGGTTCCGGAGGAACCCGGTCCTCTCCCTGGTCCTGGGGTTCTGCAGACCCTAGCTCTGTCCTAAGAGTTCCTAAAACCCCTGCTCTTTCCTCCTTTGGCCTGGCGGTCTATTCTCCACGCCTCTTATCGGTCACCACTTCCGCTTTCTCCAATTGCGTCCTGGGGGAGGTGACCTGGGGCTTGTCCCGTAGCACTGAATGTTCTTTCATCCCAAATTCTTGTGTGCTTTTCAGGAGGTGGGTATGTTATTCCTATTGCTTCCTCGTGAATCTCTGGAGAAAAGATAGATAGAGAGCAAAATAGAATATAGAAAAACTTAGAGCAAGGAAGAATAAGACACATGAACCCTGCAAAGAAGAGGACATGAGAGGGATTTGCAGAGAGACTTGAGTGAAAGCAGGAGCCGAGAAACTAGGAGGGGGAGAAAAGTCCCTGAAGCAATTTACAGAAAACCTAGATTTGACAGATGAAGGACAGTAACATAGGGCAACTGGCAGCAAAGGGGGAGCCACCTCAGAGAGAGGTGGGAGGGCTGGAATGATCGGGAGTCAGGGCAGAGCAGCCTGGTGCTGGGACAAGAAGATGCACCTAGGTGACAAGTAGAGAGAACGAACCACAGCGGAGGTGCTAGAGAGTGGGGAGATGAGGATGTAACATAGAAGAGGAAATTTTACAGTGAGAACAGAGGGGGAACAGAGATGGGGAAGAAAGGAGCAGAAGTATATAAAATTGGGACAATCAAAAGATTGAGGGAAAGAACTGCAAAAGGTAACACATGTTTCCAGAATGGAGCGCAGCAGTTAAAAGAAGGAATAGCAGGAAGAAGGAGAGAAAGAGCAGGAGAGAGGGCAACAAAATGAGGAGCAGAAGCCCAGGGGGAAACAGAGGAAAAGAGGAAACCAGGAGCAGGGGAGAGAAGGTTTGGATGAGCGGTTTATAGAGAATAAAGGAGGGAAACACAAGGAAATGAACCCAGTAAGTCTTGAGGTGATTGTGTGTGATGATTAAGTTGTGACATAGTGTTTTCCCTATTTGTCATTTAATAAGTTTATGATTTGCTGCAAAGATACAGATGAAGTTGAGAATTGCACAACTCCTGTTTGTAATGCTGGTGCATGAAATAATTCCCAGCCTTACAGGCTAGCTTCCACTTGGAGCCTGGATTAAGCCAGAGGGCAGTGAGTTGACTCAGTCAATTGCGGGTCACCCTCTTCCCTTTTCCTGAGATGGAGTAGGGAGTAGGGCAGTGCATGAGTTGTACTTTC